TCTAAAAATAATTGTCTACTGTAACTGACTACCCTAACTATATTTTCAGTATGCATATAAATATTTAATGCTTTTATTAATCCTACTAAATTTTGGCTTCAGTTGCATCGTATGGCTAGGAGTTCCACATGTTAATATAAAACGTAATTTTCAGCTTTTAAATCAGTTGTTTTTTAATTTCGTTGGTTTGTATCGAGAGGGCCAATAGAAACACCCAGTTTATTTTCTCTGCATCATTCCTTAATATTTTAAATAAACCTTTTGCCATGTTGTTTATCACCCTGCATAGGAGCTGTTGTCATGGACCAGGACCCCATTGTGCTAGATGCTGTACAAATATAGAACAAAGACCATCCCTGCCTCAAAGAGGTTGGATTTGAGTATAAAACCAAGAGACAACTTAACTAAACAGTCTCTCTTTTCATGTTCTCTTCATATGGTAGTCTCTCTCCAGGTGCCTAATATCTTTGTCACCAATCTCTAGATACCTTCTCGGTCTGCTGTTTTCAAATAGGGTGACCAGAACCAAATGCATTATTCCAAGTGATGACATGCCATTGATACTTACATAATGGCATAATATTTTCTGTATTTTCTTTCTCATTCTCTTTACTAGTGCTTTGGCTTCTGATTTTTTCACTAATGTGATAAGTAAACATGTATTTCCTTTTTTTAAAAATTGATAATTTAAGTGAGGTGCAGACACAGGTCAATGAGTTTCCCAGTTCACAAGTGGGTCATGTCAATCAGGATTAGAACTCAAGTCTCCTGACTCTTTCAGTCCTGGACTCTGAAGGACTACAGTAGCCCACTTTTCCTTCATAATACAACTGTAGAGGGATGAGATATCTTACTTATATTTCCTCACTGGGCCAGAGCCAAAGATTATTGAACTCAATATAAAATCCTTTCATAGATCAATTTCATAGATCAAGGTACCCTACAACTGTTTCTGAACACCTTGCAATTTTTTAGCGTATTTATCCTCGCAATACTTTGAGGTAGGAAGATATTATCCCTATTTTACAGATTAGAACTGATGCACAAAGTGAGTGAGTTGCCCAAAATCACAAGAGAGTCTGTAGCAGAGGGGAGAACTGAACCAGTCTTGCAGGTCCCAAGCACTGAATCATCCTTTCTCCCTGAATCAGGCCTCATATTGTTTTCTTCTAAATACTACTTAGAAAATGTTTAAGATAAAAAAATCAAGAATTCCTAGTGAATTGTTTTCATTAATTTTATTTCATTCAAATCTTCGGCTGCCATCTCAGACTGTAGTTGTCTTAAACATGATCCATAACAAGTAAAAACCTTAACACTTACATATATATAATTGTATTTTAAATATATAATTTTGTGTAAAAATGAGCACCAGAAAACTTTTAAAGAAAGTAAAGTAATACTGTTTATTCCTGTGAACTGAGAAGAGGAAAATACAAGTGCTAATATGGAAATTGTATTCTGCAAACTGTTCTAGAGGTGAATTTTTCTAATATTACTGACTTTTAAATTCACACACAAAATATAATATTTTAATCCATAAGTTAGCCAAATATTGTATGGCAAATATTGTATGGTGTTGGAAGAAAGGTCTTAGGTATTGTAATGGATATGCTTATTAAAATGACAGTTAATGTGTATAGTGCTTATTAAACTAGGAGGAATATTTTGAGTTAAGTTCTTTAGTTTGGATATAAAAAATAGTGTAGTAACTGAATGAGAACTTAATCACTTTAGGAGAGTTCTATCAAAGGATCTGATCATGCCAGTGGCTATGGGCTGGTCTTCGCTACAGGGGGATCTACACTGCTGCAATCAATTCAGCAGGGGTATAATTTAGCAGGTTTAGTCAAGACCCTCCAATTTGACTTCACAGTGCTTTCGGGTCGACCCCGGTACTACAGCTCCCTGAGAAGATTAAGGTAAGTGAATGGGAGAATGTTTCCCATCAATGCAGGACAGTGAAGAAACCGGGGTAAGTCGACCTAAGCTACATCAACTCCATCTATGTTATTCACATAGCTGGAGTTGTGTAATTTAGGTCGATTTTATCCTGGTAGTGAAGACAAGCCCTGAGACAGATTAACTATTAGTTGCGGATTACAGCATAAACACAAATTGTGCACTGCAGAATACAGAGATCTGCTCCTAAAGGTGAAACACTTGTGATTTTCTTTTTTTGTATAGTCTTAAAGAGGAGTAACTGTCTGTCTGAATCAGAATCTTCTTTTCATGGGCAGCTGTTGTAAATAAAATGTGGTAACATCATCAAAAGTAACTGTGCAGAATGGTTCTGGATAAAGAAAGCATAAGTGTCAAATGAATCAAAATGAAAAATACTGGAAAACTTTAACAATACTGTAGTTACCAAAATTTCTGAATTATTATACGTTTCTGAATTATATTATTATATAATTTCTGAATTGCATATAAACATCAACAGGAGTAGACCACCGTGGTATATGTATATAAAAGGCTGGTTATATTCGGAACTCCTGGTACAGGAGTGATTCAGTTAAAGTCAAGATATACTGAAGATAGGAGTTTACTTTTGATTATATCAAATGTGAGACAGTTCTGGTTCTTTCAGAACATATGTTAGGAACCAGGTAATAGAGAAGAGAGACACGCAACTGGGATTAATTCGATAGTCATATCCGTGAGTACCAATTATCTCACCGGGGGGGGGGGGGGAAGAGATAAGGAAAATTAATTGCCATAGGACAAAAAGCTGGGGCACACTTATATACTTTTCATTTGTATGACTAAGTAAGTCTTTCTCAACAGTAATGCTCCGTAAGACCACTTAAAATGTTGGATATCATAATTGATGGTGTTGGTGGCTGCATATGAATGCAATAAGGAGGATTAATAAAAATTAAAGCAAACTGGTACTCTGTGACAGTCAAGTTATCAAAAATTTGCATTATTTTTTTTTCTGTGGAGTGTCTGACCCAGATCAGTGCTGGAATCAAGGAGTTGATCCTGCAGGAAGACAAGAATTTGGCGTAGGGCAGTGCATTGGCACAATTTGGATTGAAACTGAATAAGTGAAATTGGCTAAAAACTGCTTAAAATAAGACAGTCCAAGGATTTTGAAAGACGGACCTCATAAAAGACAAGAATTAAAGGCAGAGTATTTTTAATTGCCTATTCCCAGATATCATCCAGTACATTTTTTCCTGTTGGGCAATGTCTGTGGTTCAGAAATGTATCAGGCAGTAGTTCAGGTTAATGTTCATCTTCATGGCTCAAACTGCTTTGTCCAGGCATTCACTTAGCCCTAGTCTACACTGGGGCGGGGATCCATCTAAATTACGCAACTTCAGCTACGTGAATGAGATTTTAGAAAAAATGGTGTCTTCACCGCCACGAGTCGACTGTTGCCGCTCCCTCTGCGCCTCTCATGGTGGTGTAGTACAGGAGTTGACGGGAGAGCGCTCGGGTCAATTTATCAAGTCTAGACTAGACACGATAAATCGATGCTGGCTGGATCGATTGCTACCTGCCGATCTGGCGGGTAGTGTAGACATACTCTTAGAGCTCAGTCCATGGAAATGAAGTTTTCAGTGGTTCCGGCTCCCTACATTCATGCTCTCTACCACTCTTTCTACAGAATGCAGGGAATAGATTCTTCAGCTTATCAACAGTTTTTTGCACAAGGAAGAGACATCAGTTTGTAAAAGCTAGTTAGCATTATAAATTATCCACTTTTTCTAAAATCTCAAAACCCAAACATAACATGAAATTACTCAGTTAAGTTTTTTAGCCATTCTGCTAGCCTAAAATCCTAAGTGGCTCTTCTCTAAGCTTTTCCTGAAACTGATATTTCCTTTTTTCCTTTTGATAGGCTGTTCTGATTTTTATTATGCATTTTGTTTAGCTGGTGGTTTTCTTTTTCCTAGTCTGTCCTCAAAAGTCTTTGAATCATTTCAAATACAATTTTCCTTTCTTAAGTGGCTTAAATCTCTCTTAGCTGCACAATATCGTTTTGAAAAATGAAATCCTATGTGGCTTTGAAACGCTAAACATAGCTTTTGAAATTCTAAATCCTGCTTGGCTGAGGGGGGAACTGGAAGTGTATTCATGTTGCCAGAAGCCTCTTTATTGAAGGCATGCAGAATGAATATTTGGGCCACATTACATTATTTCGCTTCGTATTAGACCTATCTCCTGCAAATGAGGTTTTCAACAAGCGTGTCCTTTTGGCAGTTGTGTGCTTAAAAAAAAAAGGGGGGGGGTCTTAGTTTCTCTTCTAGTACTATTTCCTCCCAAGGTATGGCTCGCCTGTTTTGATTCTTTTCCAGTGGAGAGGAGGACATGCAAAAGACCAATCACTAGTGATGGCATTTTTCGTAGACCTCTTCTATCTGGACCCAACATAGCAAGGGAGGAAATTAAGTCTGTGCTTTGTTTTCTCTGTAGGTACAGTCAAATCTCTATTTGGCACATAGTTAAACTTTTCTATGCTTTTTACTATAGCAAGTATAAGGACACACATTTTTCATAGTAAATGTTACATTTGTTCAGTATAACCTTTCACATGCACTCATCTTTCTCTTTTATGTTTCCATGACTAAGGGATGGGAGAGCACTGTATCAGCTTACAGCACACTACCGAAATTTAAAACATTTCACATTCAGTTCTATGAATAAGGTTTACGTCATCCCCGGGCAAAAGCAATGAATTCCTTTTTGCCTTAGTTAACTGTGGGGTGGGAGGGAGATACTATTTTAAGTGGTTAAATGAATACCCTTTACCTTTTGGAGCATTCCTATCAAACTCTTCCCTCATTCATAAGTCATTTAAAACATGTACGTGGAAAAAGTGGATGGAAATACTCACTAAATAAAACAATCATCCTAGCTCAATTTGGTTAAAAGATTATAGCACATAAACAGCCTTTGATCAATAAAATTGATTATAATGTTTTTGTGCTTTTTAATATCAACTTCAAAGAGCATTTCAGCTACATTATAATAATATATCTTTGTTTTAGATCATATGGGGAGTATTTTTCATCCTTGTGGCGCTGTTGTTCACCATTTCTCTCTTCCTGTCAAAGTAAGTATATTGCAGTGTCCATTTTGTAAATAAGTTACACGGATCATGTGCTGTATACCTTTTATCTAAGCTAAAATCCATTCGTATGATCTATTAATCTTAAGAGTTGTCTGCTTTACTTTAGAAGCGTTCTGCAGTGGTGTACTTTTGTCTTGCCACATTCCTGTAACTGACTGTACTGTCATGTTTAACATTATACACCTAAACTAAATTTTGATAAAGCTGAAACAGGTAAGTCAATAAAACATTGATTAAATAAAGATTGATCAGTTTGTTTTTCTTAACTATCCACTATAAAAGAGTGAGCACGCTACCACTGATACACCAAATATATTAATCATATGTGTAGACAAATGCAAATAAAGGGACTACTTATGTGCTACAAAATAAGCATGGGCTTATGTGCCTTCTGGGTTAGGGAAACAGTGCTCAACACCTTGTGGGTACTGAGTTCTCAATCTCCTTTCTGCATATTCTTTAGGTTCTGGTCATGTCCATGTTTTGTGAAGCTTAAAGTAGTATAGTCAACTGGAAATATAAGTAGTTTGTTTTTTAAAAGTTGTCTGTTACATCATCTGTCCCTGAGTCCAGTCCCCCTATGGTGTTTTGGGGACACCATATTTGGGGACATCATGTTTAAGCATCACTTTCCCTATTTTAAAAATATTTCCCTCTTCCCTGTTACGTGAAATACCCATACAAGCAAAAAGGAGACACTGAGTAAGGGATAGATCGTGCAGAGATACATGTGCGTAGTCTCATTGACCTCACATGAATAACTTGACTTGCATGTTTGCAGGACCAGACCATAGCTAACAATGCAGGGGGAGCTATAGCATTAACAAAGTAAAGAAACTAAAAAAGTTTTCTTTCAGTGATAACTTCTTCGGTGTTTATAACGGTTTCTAAAAAAATCTTAAACACAAGAGTGATTTTTTAATCTGACATCCCTTTACGTGAAACATGAATAAAAATGGTCTATGGAGAGGGGGAAAAAGCCATTATAATTAACCAGTTTTCCCTGTTTACTGCAGCTTGGACAAAGCTCTCCATTCAGCTGGCATCAATTCTGGATTTATAATTTTAGGAACTAATCTGACCAATCCATTGAATATGCTTTTACCTGTTCTACAAACTGTAAGTAAAACAATAATTGGCAAATATATATATGTAATAAACTTGCTAATATATGATAGGATTTAGGAGACCATTGCAGATTAAAAAAATCTTGAGTCTGCAAATTAGCATTTTTGATTTATCTATTAGTTAAACTTCATTTTTGACATGCTTTGTTTTAATTTAATATTGGTAATATACTGGTAAATCTGTGTCAATGAATATTATAATAGTCTAAATAAAATACTTCACTACAGCAATCTCTTAAATATTTGCTGAGAAGTAAAACTTAAACTTTTTGTGAACTGTAAATTTTGCAGATTAGCACATTGAAACACCAGGGCCCTCTTGCACTGTATATGTTGAAACATGGAATTACTCCTCAAATGATTATCCAGACAAATTCCACTCTTTGGGTTTATGCCCCCTGCACATGTGATCAGATTCTTTTGAAATGGCAGTGTCCGTTGGGGCTGTGCCTGCACGCTATGAGCACTCGTGACCATTGTAGCTGAAGATTTAAGGAGCGGGTTAGCCTCCGCAGCCTCTCAGTTCCTTCTTACTGTCCATGTCTACAAGATGGAACCCTGCAGTCTGTCTCTTCAACCTGCAAGAAATAAGCTGGAGCTGCTGCTGTTTATAATTATTGAGACAAATATCAAATATCTGTTGGTTTGAAAAAAAATTCCTTGTGAATAGAGGGCATTAATGGGGTTTCTAATGCCCCTTCTTCCCCCCCCCCCCCCATCCCTCTGTGCACAAACCTAAAATAGCCAGAGGAAAATCCCCATGATTCAAAATCTGTCCCTCATGCAATACAACAGTGCCCGCCAATGATGGCCATTCAAGTTGCCTCTTGTGCCCCTTGCCTAAGCATGTGTCAGAGCACTGCATGGTGCACAAGCTGGTTTTGAGCAACGACTTGAAAGCTAAAGAGGGAAGACTAAAGCTACATCATGAGACCTCAGTGCAAATGTTGTCAGATCTGGGTAAACAAATGAGGACATCTCCTTTCATTCAGTCTCACTTCTCTAGTGCCCCACTGAGCCACAATGACACCCCAAACTCAAGAACTTCCACTTTTCCCAGCAATGGGGTTGCAAGAAGCATGGCTCCAAGAACCAGGGAAGGCACAGCTATCCTTCCCTAGCAGCAGTACCAGATGATCCTGTGCCAACTACACTAGCACCCGGGGAAACAGACTCTAAGCTTATTGGTGGCAGAGGATTCATCAGCTCAGAGTGCCATATTGGTGCTGTGAAGGTCTTATCAGCACCAAAACAGTTCTCAGCATTGACAGTCTTGGCTGTGACTGCTAGCAGAGTCCCTGATTCTGGACAGACTGAGGGTGACAATCAGCCAGGTTCATTCTGCAACCCAGCAGTACTGGCGACTCCTGAGGGAATTCTGTGCCAAAAATAAAAAATTCTGCCAATTTTTCTTGTCAGTAAATAAATGTGGAGGCTTCAGCATGGCAGTGGGACGCGCACACACCATTGACTGCATGGAAGTGGGAGATCACCCTATGCCCCCTCCTAGGACATGGACATGGCGGTGAGGCTGCTCCCGACCCGCCCTAGAAACACCCCTGGGCCCTTCCCTTCTGTGCCACATGCACCAGATGTGGGAAGACAGGCTAAGCCCAGCAGTGTCCAAGTGTGGAGGGGATCCAGGTGTAGGGTGAGAGAGTTGTTTGTGGGTCAATTTCAGTGAGGGCAACTCAGTAGGGAGTCTGGGGTAATGGGACACTATGTTGGGGTGGTCCAGATGCACAGGGTGGAGCTCATCGGGGTGGGGATTTGAGTGCAGGGGATTCAGTGGGGGATGGTCTGGGTGCAAGGTTGGGGGTCTGAAGGCAGGGGGTGGGGCTCAGCGGGAGGGTCTGCGTGCAAGTGGGCTCTGGATGCAGGGGGTGGGGTTCTGGGTGTGTGTTGGGGGGACTCAGGAGGGTGTCTTGATATGGGGGCAGGTCCAGATGCACGGTGGTTGGGCAGATGGGAGTAGCTTCCCGTATGGGTGACCTCTCCCTCCACAGCTGAGGAGCGATGTGGGTGGGAGAGTGAAGCTTCCTGCAGCCCGGGAAAGTTCTTCTTTGAGTGCTTGCTCATGTCAATTCCATTCTAGGTGTGTGCATGCCCACGTGCGTGGTCGCTGGAGATTTTTGCCCTAGTGGTATCCATAGGGCCAGCAATGGCGTCGCCTTGAGTGCTCCGCTCGTGCATCGGTATATCGGGTGCCACCAGCCTTACGCCCTCTCAGTTCCTTCTTACTGCCTGTGGTGGTTAGTTGGAGTGCCTTTCCTTGCATAGCAAGGGCTAGTGGTTTCATCTCTTCTGACTTCAAGCCTTAGGGCCTTGTAAATAGTTTATAGTAGTTAGTGTTAAGTAATTGTGAAATGTAGTTAGAAGTTAGTCCCAGCAAGGGCATGTCCTGGTCTCCGGGGTTTAAGCTCTGGGTGGACTGCAACAGGCCTATACCTGTAAGTGACCCCCCACAGCAGCTGCCTTAAGTGCTTGGGGGAATCACATGTGAAGGAGAAATGTCGTATTTGTAAAAAAATGTTGACCCAGGACTCAGTGGGATATTGGTTTGCGGGCTTGCCTCATGGAGGCTGCCCTTCGTCCGGCTTCCGAGCCATCCTGCCAAGTCTCATCTAATACATCTGCGTTGGTGCGATCCCCGTCCAGCACCACTCCCCATCACCGGTGCCCAAAAAGAAATCAAAGAAGCACAGCTCTCCAGCATGAGGCAAGAAGGGCCATGGGACATTGGGCAAAGGACCTGCTGCTTCTTGACCTGCTGCTCACAAACCGGGAAGAATTAGTAGGGGAAGCAAAAGTGGATGGGAACCTGGGAGGCAGTGACCATGAGATGGTCGAGTTCAGGATCCTGACACAAGGAAGAAAGGAAAGCAGCGGAATACGGACCCTGGACTTCAGAAAAGCAGACTTAGACTCCCTCAGGGAACTGATGGGCAAGATCCCCTGGGAGAATAACATGGGGGGGAAAGGAGTCCAGGAGAGCTGGCTGTATTTTAAAGAATCCTTATGGAGGTTACAGGGACAAACCATCCCGATGTGTAGAAAGAATAGTAAATATGGCAGGCGACCAGCTTGGCTTAACAGTGAAATCCTTGCTGATCTTAAACACAAAAAAGAGGCTTACAAGAAGTGGAAGATTAGACAAATGACCAGGGATGAGTATATAAATATTGCTCGGATATGTAGGAATGGAATCAGGAAGGCTAAATCACACCTGGAGTTGCAGCTAGCGAGGGATGTTAAGAGTAACAAGAGGGGTTTCTTCAGGTATGTTGGCAATAAGAAGAAAGCCAAGGAAAGTGTGGGCCCCTTACTAAAGGAGGGAGGCAACCTAGTGACAGAGGATGTGGAAAAAGCTAATGTACTCAATGCTTTTTTTGCCTCTGTCTTCACGAACAAGGTCAGCTCCCAGACTACTGCACTGGGCAGCACAGCATGGGGAGGAGGTGGCCAGCCCTCTGTGAAGGAAGAAGTGGTTGGGGACTATTTAGAAAAACTGGACGCGCACAAGTCCATGGGGCCGGATGTGTTGCATCCGAGAGTGCTAAAGGAATTGGCGGATGTGATTGCAGAGCCATTGGCCATTATCTTTGAAAACTCATGGCGATCGGGGGAAGTCCCGGAAGATTGGAAAAAGGCTAATGTAGTGCCCATCTTTAAAAAAGGGAAGAAGGATGATCCTGGGAACTACAGGCCGATCAGCCTCATCTCAGTCCCCGGAAAAATCATGGAGCATGTCCTCAAGGAATCAATTCTGAAGCACTTAGATGAGAGGAAAGTGATCAGGAACAGTCAGCATGGATTTGCCAAGGGAAAGTCATGCCTGACTAATCTAATTGCCTTCTATGATGAGATAACTGGTTCTGTGGATGAAGGGAAAGCAGTGGACGTGTTATTCCTCGACTTTAGCAAAACTTTTGACACAGTCTCCCCCAGTATTCTTGTCAGCAAGTTAAAGAAGTATGGGCTGGATGGATGCACTACAGGGTGGGTAAAAAGTTGGCTAGATTGTCGGGCTCAGCGGGTAGTGATCAATGGCTCCATGTCTAGTTGGCAGCCGGTATCTAGCGGAGTGCCCCAAGGGTCAGTCCTGGGGCCGGTTTTGTTCAATATCTTCATTAATGATCTGGAGGATGGTGTGGATTGCACCCTCAGCAAGTTTGCAGATGACACTAAACTGGGAGGAGTGGTAGATACGCTGGAGGGTAGGAATAGGTTACAGAGGGCCCTAGACAAATTAGAGGATTGGGCCAAAAGAAATCTGATGAGGTTCAACAAGGACAAGTGCAGAGTCCTGCACTTAGGACGGAAGAATCCCATACACTGCTACAGACTAGGGACCGAATGGCTAGGCAGCAGTTCTGCAGAGAAGGACCTAGGGGTTACAGTGGACGAGAAGTTGGATATGAGTCAACAGTGTGCCCTTGTTGCCAAGAAGGCCAATGGCATTTTGGGATGTATAAGTAGGGGCATTGCCAGCAGATCGAGGGACGTGATCGTTCCCCTCTGTTCGACATTAGTGAGGCCTCATCTGGAGTACTGTGTCCAGTTTTGGGCCCCACATTACAAGAAGGATGTGGAGAAATTGGAGAGAGTCCAGTGAAGGGCAACAAAAATGATTAGGGGACTGGAACACATGAGTTATGAGGAGAGGCTGAGGGAACTGGGATTGTTTAGTCTACGGAAGAGAAGAATGAGGGGGGATTTGATAGCTGCTTTTAACTACCTGAAAGGTGGATCCAAAGAGGATGGATCTAGACTATTCTCAGTGATAGCAGATGACAGGACAAGGAGTAATGGTCTCAAGTTTCAGTGGGGGAGGTTTAGGTTGGATATTAGGAAAAACTTTTTCACTAGGAGGGTGGTGAAACACTGGAATGCGTTACCTAGGGACGTGGTGGAATCTCCTTCCTTAGAAGTTTTTAATGTCAGGCTTGACAAAGCCCTGGCTGGGATGACTTAGTTGGGGTTGGACTAGATGGCCTCCAGAGGTCCCTTCCAACTCTGTTATTTTATGATTCTATGATTCTATGACCCAGTTTGGGCCACCCAGCCACTCTGGAGCCACGTGTACGTGCCTCCCCAGTCGGGGCCCTTAGTCCCTTAAAGGATCTGCCACCGACTCGCAGGAGCAGTAGGTGATCCAAATTCTTGATGACATCGACACTTTCCAAAGCTCCCCTGATGCTGAGAGAGTAGAGGTCTCTGCCTGTGCCACTAGCACTGCCGGTGCCACAGGAAACGGTAAAGGCTCCCTATGAGGGTGGGCCACCCACTAACGCCTTTCAGGGGGCAGTGGAGCACCACTTATCCCCCGAGACAAGGCAGTGCTCTCCTCCTCCATGCCACAGAACTCTGGAGTAGCAGACCAGATCCTCTGGGTCTCCTGCTCAGTCACTGGCACCGCAATCGCGGTTTCTGCTGTCTCAATGTGCATTGCCTAAGGTGAGACACCGGTCTCTGTACTACCGGCACCATTCGCCCCCTGCCAGTCATCCTCTAGGCACAGATCTTGGTTGCTTGCCTCATGGAAGCATTTTCCGTCACGACTCCGGTCCCCTCAATACCGGCACCGGTCCTCTCACTCCAGGCACCAGTGTCGACAGTCCCACGGTGGTCACCGGAAGTGGATTCCTCTAGCACAGAAGGGTAGTTCTGACTCCCAGACTCCACCAACTCAGTTGGGCTCCCGAGACCACGTTGACGTCGACGGCATCATCTTGGCAGCATGGCAAGTGGCCAGCACAGTTGCCTTATTGGAGCCCGGGGGTCAATGCCGGTCATGACACTGCCCCTTCGCACCGCTCATCTGCTGCTGCCTCAGAGCAACAGTTGGTGACACCTACGGTACAGGAGTTGCGCTTGGAGGTCGGGAGGAGAGGAGACTGCGCCCACCCCTAAACCTCCCTCCACCTTGGGGAACAGTTGCTTCTCCGAACAGACGGATGCGAGGTTCAATGGGTTGAAGGACACTTGGGCCTCCGTTTGCTTGTTGAGCATGCGTACGCCGCAGTCTTCACGGAAGCAGTTCTGGCTGCCCCCACCACCAAGGCCTTGGCAGCCTTGTTAGGGGTTTGCAAGGAGAAGGGAGAAAGACATGAGTTTTATTTGTCACAGCCCTTCCTTCTCCCGCTTGCTGCACAGCGAGGCATCCCGGGGGCCAGAAGCACTCGTTTTGAAGGCGCTCTCAAGAGCGAAGCCCCAGTCAATTTCTTGGATCCACCTTGTTCTTTCCTTGACCATCTTGGTCCCTACCGTTTGGCCTGGTTGCAGGTCACCTCGGACCACTGGGTGCTAGACGTAGTATTTCAGGGCTATACCCTGCAATTTTTGGCCACTTCCCCTCTTCCCCATCCATCTTCAGGGATCCTTCTCATGTCAACTCCTCATTCAAGACATTGAGAACCTCCTGTGCCTGGAAGCAGTGGAGGAGGTCCCTCGGGACGTGAAAGGCAAGGGTTTCTATTCCCGCTACTTCCTAATCCTGAAAGCAAAAGGGGGCCTCAGATGAGGAGTGCAGGCTACGCACCCTGGACGTCAGGAGGGCACTGGTCTTCTACGTAGACAGAACAAAGCCGTTCAGTAAGTCAACACAGTTGTTCATTGTGGTGGCAGATAGAATGAAAGGTCGCGCAGTGTTTGCTCTGAGGATTTCATCCTGGATCACAGCCTGCATCCGCTACTGCTATGAGCTGGCGAAAGTGCCTCCGCCAGCGATCGTGACTGCACACTCAACTAGGACACAAGCATCGTCAGTTGCCTTCCTGGCACAGGTACCAATCCGAGAGATCAGTAGGGCTGCTACCTGGCCGTCTGTCCACACGTTCACATCTCATTATGCGCTTACCCAGCAGAGAGACGATGCTTACTTTGGCAGAGCAATGCTGCAAGACCCTGAACTCCGAGCCCTCCTCCACTGATACTGCTTGTGAGCCACCTAGAATGGAATTGACATGAGCAAACACTTGAAGAACAAAAAATGCTTAGCCACCATTTTCATAACTGTTCTTCAAGATGTGTTGCTCATGTCCATTCCATTACCCACCTTCCTGTCCCCCTGTTGGAGTTGTCGGCAAGAAGGAACTGAGAGGGCATAGGGATGGCAGCACCTGATATACGGACATATGAGCATGGCACTCAAGGGGGCACCACAGCTGGCCATATGGATACCGCTAAGGCAAAAATCTCCGACGACCACGCACTTGGGCGCGCACGCACCTAGAATGAAGTGGACATGAGAAACACATCTCTAAGAACAACAGTTATGAAAAAGGTGGGTAACCGTTTTTTTTCCTGGGGATGGGTCAGCCCCGGCCCTTCCTTTCAGGGGAAGAGCAAGTCCCATCCTTCCCAGCTGGGACCAGCTGAGCCCAGCGCAGGATAGTAGCCACCTGCTGGGGAGTCCTCAGCCCCACCCTCCTGCTCCTGCTCTGCAGTGATTTACCTTTCCGCTGGCTGCCCTAGGGACCTGAAATGACACATGGGGAGGAGCGCATGACTGCCCTTACGGCTTCCCTTTGCTTCCCCATCAGAAAGTCATTTTTGTGTGGGGGGAGGGAAGAAATCTGCAGGGGACATGAATTTGGTGCATGCGCAGTGGTGCAGAATTTTCCCAGGAGTAACTGGCCATAAATCTAAACAGACAGGACTTATCAGAGCGCTTTGTGCCCTGCCTATGGAGGGAGACTTCACTTATTCAGCCTCCTCAGGTGATCGCATCAGATCATCTTCACCAGAATCCGAACTGTCCCTTCCATGGACAGACAGTCCAGGGAGAAATCCCTTAGGTGTGCTCATAAGTCAGTGGGGTCAGTAAGAGATCTGCAGAGCTGGAATCCCCATATGTCCTCTTTCCCCAGGTCCTATTTGGGCCCCATGGTGGGGCAGTGGGGACAATTCATATGTTAGGAAACCAGCTGACTAGATCTCCAAGTCAAGGGCTTCCTTACTAAAGCATTTGCTGCAGCCAGCTTCATCACCAGTTTCAACTCTCTCTCTATCAATGAATGAAAATACTAATATATATATATATATATTAGTAGAGGAGGGACAAGGAGTCAGTGGAGATGATCTTTCCCAAACACCAACAACCAGTGGCCATCTCCCTGGACAGAGCAACCAATCCTAGATCTACAGCCTCTTCAGACAAAGTGTTTTTTGGAACATAATGAAATTAGCGAATACTCTGGACGCTCCTCTGGAGATACTCCAAATAAAGCTGCATAAACTACTGGACATTTGCAACCCTCTCTGTCAGGTAGAACAGCCCTACAAAAGGCCATGTAAGTTACATAGGTACATCTCTACCCCGATATAATGTGACCCAATATAACACGAATTCAGATATAACGCGGTAAAGCAGCACTCTGGGGAGCGGGGCTGTGTGCTTCAGCGGATTAGCGTGTCTGGCTCTGACACGCTGCTCTGAGCAGCGTGTTAAGGGTGCCGGGCTGGGGCCAAGGGATTGGATAAGGGGCAGAAGGTCTCGGGGGGGCAGTCAGGGGACAGGGAGCAGAGGGGGTAGGATGGTCTCTGGAGGCGAGGAATGGGGGCATTGGATAGGGTGTGGGAGTCTGGGGGGGCCTGTCAGGGGACAGGGCTGTCGATAGGGGTCGGGGCAGTCAGGGGACAAGGAGATGGGGGGTTGGGTGGGGTTTTGGGAGGGGTGGTTAGGGGCGGGAAGTCTCTGGAGGGGACAGTCAGGGGACCAGGAGCAGGGGAGGTTGGATGGGTCGGGGGTTCTGAGGGGTCAGTCAGGGGGCGGGAAGTGACTATTAACGTAAATGCTCGAGGCCAAAGCAAGTTTGATATAACATGGTTTCACCTATAACTCGGTAAGATTTTTTTTGGCTCCCGAGGACTGTGTTATATCAGGGTAGAGGTGTAATTGTGTAGTTTTTTTTTAATAAAGGTTTATATTAACTTTGACTTTACTCTAGAAATGATATACAAATGTTATATCTCCTATGTTAACTCATTTGAAAGAGACCTCTTGCGCTTTTCTAACTCTGGACTTTACTGTAAGTAGAACTAAGTAGTCTAGCCCAACATTTGAAATTTGAATGAAGCAATATCTAATTCAAATCGAGGTGAAGCTTGGAAAAAATTCACAAAGCTATTCAATCTCTTTTCTAAATTGGACTATTAATTGTTTCAGCTCTATTTGTAATTAATTGTCTTATGTTTTAAATCAGGCAGTTTTCCTTCCCTTACCACCTCAAACACTATCAAAATGAAAAGTTCTGATATATATAGCATCTCATTGTGTTAAGAAACCTGTTTTTAAAATTAGATGATCAGCCACTCTTGTAATTTGATTGGTGTTGAGTATTTGTAATGTTAGTGTTTTCATTTCTTTTTTCAGCTTATATATTAATATCGTTCTCTTTTAGGTTTTTCCACTTGATTATATCCTCATTACAACAATTATTATGTATTTTATCTTCACTTCAATGGCAGGGATTCGAAACATGGGTATATGGTTCTTTTGGATAAGGGTAAATATTACTTATTTACTAAAATTTAACATTTATAAATTACTGTATTTAAAAAGATATTTAAAATGTATAACAGATACAAAAGGACCTTGCAGAATTTTCTCTATCATATTCTAAAAGCTAAAATGGTGTGAAGCAATTATTCTTTTTAAACAATATTACAATAAATTGTTTTAGCAAGAGTCTTAAGAGTTTCTTCCATGTTTTGAAAAGCTAGATTGTATTTTGGCTTGATGGCCTAGTTTAAAGGAGGGCAAGCAGTTTCAATTCGAGACAAAATTTCAGCTATCAAGCCAGCAGAGTCTGGGAGCTTTGTGGAAGCAGCACATTCAATGTATTGCCAACCCTAAGTATTCAAATATCATGACTTATGTGTGGAGGCAGAGTGTAGGGGTGTGGAATACTCTGTGTGTGTGTGGGGGCGAGGGGGTGGGGGGTTGGCTTCTGGTTTTTTAGGCTTGAGGGTGGAAGTCACCTGCCCCAAAAGTGTGAGCATTTCAGGGTCAAAATTCAACCTTCAAATGTTCCTGCAACAATGTAGACTCTTGTTTGTTTGCTTGTTTGCTCAGAAGAAGACTCCTCTTACCCTTTCCTAATCTCGAGAGTGGAGGAACTACCAGTCTGTCCTCCTCCCTTACGATTATCCTATCTGTTTTCCCTCCCCGCATTTTCACTTGTCCACTCGGTTTTCTCCCCCATGGTCTCTTGTCTCCAGTCCCAGATCTTCTCCTGAACTCCACATTCCCCTCTCTCCTCAGTTTCCTGTTCAGGTCACTAACCTTAAAGTCCAGAGAGTGGCCATCTTTACTAAGGAAAAAGTTGTGGCCCATTGCCACATGCAAAGCCTGTAGGCAGCCTTCTTGAATGAGGATAGTTTGGCGTCAGCCCCACTGAAAATAAAATGAGGTGGTGACAGTCATTTGGAATAAGGAAAACTGCAAATTTTGAAGGTAGGGAGCTTAGATCTTAGGATATTTTGTAAAATATTGTTGATAGGGTTTGATCATTTGTTGTCAGCGATCTCTAGAGGATGATCTTTCACAGCTTTTATTTTTCATGGGTCCTTTGGTAAATGAAGAGTCCCATCCTTGAGCCACAGGCTTGTTGGAAGACATTGCAAGGTGGTGGAAGACAGAGCTGGCCCATGATTGCTGCATGACAGTTGTCTTTCCTTTCTTTTCTGGTGTTTTTCTGCGACCAGGTCAAGGCAATTTTCCTCAAAAGCGGACGTTTCCTCTCTGACAAGTCTTTGCCAGTTACCCCTATCATGGGCTGCTGTCTCCCAGTATGTGGTGTTGATGCCACATCTCTTGATGTTTACCCTGAGGATGTCTTTAAAGTGTTTCTTTTGGCCTCCCCATTTCCTTTCTCCTTTGGTGAGAGTTCATCAGTGCCTGCTTCACCTCAGCTGATGCTGGGTAATCAGGGCCTCAACAATGAAGATGTTGGCCTCTGTGAGGACACTGACATTGGTTCAATGATCCTCCCACTGTATGTTGAGGATCTTCAGAAGAAAGTGCTTGTGCTGGCATTCCAGGTTTCTCAGGTGTTTTCAGTAGGTCACCCAAGTTTCACAGCCATAGAGGAGAGTTTATAAACTAACTTTATAAACCACGACTTTATAAATTAAGAGTCTAATACGTGTTCTGATGTTGTGATTGTTGAACACCCAGCAAGACAGTCTGCCAAAGGTAAGGCTGGCAATTCGAATTCTGTGATGAATCTTGATGTCTGTCTGTCCTCTGCAAGAGATGGCTGCCAAGGTAGGCAAAGTATTCTACATTTTCCAGTTCTTCTTTGTCGATGTAGATCTTCCTTGCTGGGTCTGATTGACCGGGAACTGGCTGGTGGAGAACTTTTTGTTTTGCCAATGTTCAGAATAGCCCTAGGCTTTTGTAAGCTGTTTGCTGCCATCAGGACTGATTTGACAAGAGCAACGCTAAGGTTACAAACAAATGGTGGGAGGACAAAGCAAAAGAAATCCAAACATTTGATGACTCACAGACATGATATGCGGCCCTTTTTTTGAGAGACCTAGACCCTGTATGTACCAAGCACATGTGGCCTCACACCTCTGAGATCTGAAGATGGTAGTACCCTTCTTAAAGATAACTAATCTATCGAAGAGTGCTGGAAGGAACACTACCTAAAGCTTCTAAATCGAGAATTGACCTTGACTGACGACACCACCAACTCCATCCCTCAGCACCCAATCAGGGAATATCTTGCCAACCCACTAACACGCAAGGAGGTCCGCAAAGCAATTAAACAAACGAAGAACAATAAAGCACCAGGTCCTGATGGCATACCAGCTGAAGTACTGAAAGTGGGGGGAGAAACATTGGCTAACAGGCTTCACTTGCTGCTCCTCAAAATCTGGCGCACTGAAGAAATCCCTGCTGGCTTATGTAATGCTAACGTTGTAACCATTTTCAAAAAGGAAGACAAGGCCAACTATGGCAACTACCGAGGCATTGTCCTTCTCTCCATCATTGGGGAAATTCTTGCTAGAATCTGACTGAATTGTTTGCTCCCTCTTGTAGAGGAAGTACTTCCAGAGCCCCAGTGTGGCTTCAGACCATGACGAGGCACAACCAACATGATTTTTGCGGCCAGGCAGATCCAGGAAAAGTGTCAAAAACAACATCAGGAGCTGTATATGGCTTTATCAATCTGACCAAAGCCTTCGACTCTTTCCAGAGTCTGATGGTTGACAATCATGTCAAAGTTGGCTGCCCACGAAAATTTAGTACCATTGTAAGACTCCTCTTTGACTAGATGACTGCCTTCATCTTGTGCAGTGGCTCTACCTCTGAGCCCTTTGTCATCCGAACTGGAGTAAAACAATATCGCATTTGACGGCAACCTCTTCAACCTTTCCCATCTCTGTGCCAGAACTAAAGTAATATCTTCAACAATAACCGATCTCCAGTATGCAGATGATTGTGCTGTAGTTGCACACTCAAAGGAGAATGTGCAAACAGCCCTTAATTGCTTCTCTGAAGCTTGATCATTTGTATAGTATATGTAGAGGCTTTTACATTTACAGCTATGTCTTTGGGAGAGAGGTGTTTTGAATATATTTCTACTGTCTTCTCAACAGTAGAGTTTCAGGATGTAATTGGGGAAATAACGAATATAAATATCTAGTATAAAAGCCATGTCCTTTAACAGATATCAAGTTTGATAACCTAGAGAAACAATTATGATCTAATATTTGTACATATCTTCTGTTTTTTTTAGTTGTATAAAATTAGAAGAGGTAAAACTCGGCCCCAAGCGCTCTTATTTCTCTGTATGATACTTCTGTTGATTGTTCTTCACACAAGTTATATGATCTACAGTCTTGCACCTCAGTATGTCATGTATGGAAGCCAAAAATACCTGGTACAGGTGAGACTTTCCCTTTCATAAGGATATATATAACTTACCTTGTTTTTTAAAAATGTGTTAAAATTGCATATATGGGGTGAGGCAAAGCACAGCCCTGCTGTATACCTATTTTTGAAGGGATACAACCATAAGAATCTCCTAGAGTTATTGTGCCTCTAGATATTTTGGAGGAGTACAGCCTGGAGAAACTCTGTGTTGCACCCTTTTACACAATGCAGCGTGTAGTTTCTATCTGCTCTCCTGGTCTGTGTAGAGCTGTAGAGGGACCTAGTTCTGCCCCCATCTAGAAGGAAATTACATTTGTTGCTACTAGCTTCCAGTAAGCCTCATGTTCCCTCAACACAGGAACTGCTTTTTATTATTTTCATTATATTCTGATAATGGCCAAGCTCCCCAATCAGGAATAGGGTCCCATTGTGGAATTCTCTGTATAAATTCATAGTAGCTGCCCCAGACAGCTTGCTAATCTAAAAATAAAAAAGTGGAAGGCATAATAGGATACAAGATCATCAGAGTAATGGAGGGCATATGTCAGGGTTCCTTACCCACTCTGAACTCTAGGGTACAGATGTGGGGACCCGCATGAAAGACCCCCTAAGCTTATTCTTACCAGCTTAGGTTAAAAACTTCCCCAAGGTACAAACTTTGCCTTGTCCTTGAGCAGTATACTGCCACCAACAAGCGCTTTAAACAAAGAACAGAGAAAGAGACCGCTTGGAGATGTCTTCCCCCAAAATATCCCCCCAAGTCCTACACACCCCCTTTCCTGGGGAGCCTTGAGAATAATATCCTAACCAATTTGTTACAAAATCATCAAAGACCCAAACCCCTGGATTTTGGAACAATGGAAAAATCAGTCAGGTTCTTAAAAGAAGGATTTTATTAAAAAAAAAAAAAGAGATCAAAATCATCTCTGTAAAATCAGGATGGAAAATACAGGGTATTCAGATTCAAAACACAGAGGATCCCTCTCTGGGCAAACCTTAAAGTTACAGAAAACAGGACTAAACCTCCCTCTTAACACAGGGAAAATGCACATAAAACAAAAGATAAGCTAATCCACCTTGCCTGGCCTACGTATACTGATTGCAATATTGGAGACTTGGATTAGGATGGGTTGGAGAAGATGGATTTCTGTCTGGCCTCTCTCAGTCCCAAGAGAGAACAACCACGTAAACAAAGAGCACAAACAAAAGCCTCCTCCCCTGCCCCAAGATTTGAAAGTATCTTGTTCCCTTACTGGTTCTTTAGGTCAGGTGCCAGCCAGGTTAGCTGAGCTTCTTAACCCTTTACAGGTAACAGGATGTTGTCTCTGGCCAGGAGGGATTTTATAGCACTGTATACAGAAAGGTGGTTACCGTTCCCTTTATTTTTATGACAGCATATGTCTTGATAGTTCTGTTTTGAAACAAATTTTTAAACCTTTGTCTAATTTTTTTAAAATTATCCCAAAAATTGCTTTTATCCTGTAAATGTCCTACTTAATCTTAGCCTTTTTCTACAGTATAAATTTATAATTATCACTAAACTTTTCCATTATTCATTTTAACTACTGCTTCTTTTAACTCTTGCATCACTGTATTTTATCATTTTTAAGCTGTGCCATTTTATTCCATTCCGTACTTTTTTCTATTTTAAATTAGTTTTGATTCTTGCACTTCATGGTTATTGTATTTATCTCTTTCTATTTTTAAGAAAAAAAGGTACCTAATCATTGGGAACTTCAATCTGAGTGGCATATGCTGAAGGTCTCATTCTACCAGTACTAATGTGTTCTTGGAGTTTCCAAAACTTAGATGACAATTTCCTAATTCAAAACTCTTTCATATAACATGCATTAGATATGATATTGACAGATATAGAGAAATGGATCTCTGAATTAAAAATCAGTAGTTGCTTAGGTGCATGTGATCGTGACTCAGTTGCTCTTTTTACACATAACAGATGTAAAGTCCAAACTAGTAATATGTACTTTGTGAAATTGGCCCTTTTAAATCACCAAGTTGAAAACAATTCTGAGCCGAAGGACCTGGGGGAAAGAATTTTTAAACACAAAAATGTGAACAGTTGGGACCCGTTAAAAAAACATTTTGACTAGATGCCCAAGTCGTCTCAGTTCCAAAATTGAGAGAACATTACACTGGTTAAGACAGCCTGGTTTAGGTGAAAGCAGCCATTAAACACACAATGTATAACATGGGGAAATGGGGGAGGAGAGAGAAATAACTGTAAATTAGAAGTTGGGAATTGTCCAAAATCAATAAGAGAAGCAAATGGACACTTTGAGAAATCTATGGCCTGCAAAGTTAAAGATGGTAAGGAATTTAAGTATATTAGGAACAGACAGAAACATAATACTAGATGGAAATTTTAGAATTGTCAATGCAAAAAAGCAGAAGTGTGGAGCAATCTCTTTAAAGTGTTTGGAAAAGACCCAAGTCATTACTCATCATCATGTGACATGAATTCTAACCCAAGGAGGATGCTCAACAGCAGCTACTAAAGCTAGACATTTTAAAATCAGCAAGTCCAGATAACTTGCATCCGTGTCAGAGTTTTAAAAGAGAGTTTTAAAAGAGCTGGCTGGAGAGTGCTCTGACCCATAAATGTTTATTTTCAATAAGTCTTGGAAACCTGGAAATTTCAGAGGAATGGAAGAATGCTACTGTTGTGCCAATATTTAAAAGTGTAAATGAGGTGAGCTGGGTAATTACAAGCCTGCTAGCCTGATACTGAAACTCAACAAAATATTAGAATGGCTGATATGGGCCTCAGTTTAATGAAAAATTGAGAGTAATATAATTAATGTCAATCAGCATGGGTTTATGGGAAATAGAATTTGTTAAAGTAACTTGATATCTTTTTTTTTCCATGAGATTACAAGTCTGGTTGATAAAAGTAGTAGTGCTGATGTAATATATTTAGACTTCTGAAATGCATTTGACTTAGTACTGCACAACATTTTGATTAAGAAACAAGAATGATACAAATCAACAAGGCACACATTAAATATATTGAAAACTGATAAGTCTCTATGTAATTGTAAGGAGGGAATCATTGAGTGCTTTTAGTGGGGTCCCACAGGGATTGGTTCTTGGTCCTATGCTATTTAACATTTTATCAATGACATGGAAGAAAAATAAAATCCCTTAGAGCAGGGGGTGGGCAAACTACGGCCCGCAGGCCTTTTTTATCGAGCCCGCGAGCTTCGGCCAGGGGAGCAAGGCCAGGGGCTTGCCGCGCTCCACCCGGCGCTGTTGGACCAGCAGATTTGTCGCGCTCCGGCAGGGAGAGCGGGGAGTGAGGCTTGCTGCGCTCCACCTGGCGCTCCTGCCTGCGGAGCGGGACCAGGGGGCTTGCTGGGTGGAGCGGGACCAGGGGCTTGCCTGCCCAGTGTTCCTCAGTGATGAGCAGTTCATTTTGAGCACCATCTTCAAGGAAGATTCTGCACGCAAAACGCCGCATTCTGCAGGCATGACCTCACCACCCCTATGCAGCAGTGTGCCAAATCCCCTCCCAGTTTCCTATGGCCCCACCCTCAAGTGGAGGGAAACCGTCCAGGGCCGCAGCTGCTCCGCTTTGGGTTCTTCCGCAAGTGGCACAGCTGCCTCGGTGTCACATTGCCAGCAGGGCCCATAGGAGGCCATGGTACCCTCCCATGAAGCCCCCCGCGCACCATGTCTCATGCGTCCTCTTGCCACACTGCGGTAACATCCCTTATTATATACAAAATTTTAATGAACACAACTGTGCAAACAGAATTCGAAGTACAACAGTAAGAACATTTTTGGGGGGAGGCTGGAGCATAAAGTTACAGGTGAGTTTACACCTGCCTCTTCTTGTCCACATGGATTCTGGAATAGAGTGCCATGGCTCAAAATTGTCAGAGGCACTGACTCCTGACAAATCCAGGCTAGAGAGAGGGCCCAGTTTTTTCACAGTGCATGCCATCTTGTAAAACAGCAGTTTGAAATAAGGGCAGCAGTTAAGATTTTCTTTTTCCTTTCAAAAATGAGTGCTGCAAAAAAAAAAAAAAAGAAAAGTGGACAATGAGTGTTGGGTTTTCAACAAAGAACGGAATACAAAATACTTTTTCACAAACGTGAACTCGAAGGCTGTATGCCTGATTTGTCAGGAGAGCATCGCGGTGTTCAAGGAGTACAACTTGAATCACTATTTTTCAACAAAGCATCCTAATTATGGCAGCAATTTAACAACTGAGGGAAGGGCAAGAAAAGCTGAGCAACTTGCCACAAACTTAAAAACTCAGCAAAATATTTATGTGCTACTGTCTGCAATTCAGGAAGCCACTACAAAGGCAAGTTACGTTCTGACATTTAAAATCGCTAAACAAAATAAGCCTTTTGCTGAAGGGGAGTTTTTTGAAAGAATGCATGGTTGATGTTTCTAGCATGCTGTGCCCAGAATACCAAAACAAATTTGAGGAGATTCGTTTGTCACAAAGAACAGTTACTCTCCGTGTAGAAGTGATTGATGAATGTTTGGCTTCTGAGTTGAACAAGAAAGCACAGGGCTTTACATTGTTTTCATTAGCTCTCGATGACAGCACTGACATTAAGGACACAACACAGTTACTGATTTTTGTCAGAGGAATTGATGACAAATTTGAAATCACAGAGGAATTTTTATCAATGGAATCAATGAAAGGCACAACTCAGGGATCGAGTGCAACTAAGGGATCGGGTGTATGGGTGCCTTGAACATCTGAAGCTCCCCTGGAGTAAACTGGCAAACATAACCACAGATGGATCACCAAATTTAACAGGGAAAAATGTAGGACTTTTAAAAAGAATTCAGGACAAAGTAAAAGACGACGACCCTAATAAAGGTGATTTTTCTGCATTGTATTATAGATCAGGAGACCCTCTGCAAAAATGTCCAGGACATTGATCATATTGTTCTCACAGTAGTGAAAATAGTGAACTTAAGGGGACTTAATCATCAGCAATTAATTTCCCTTCTTGAAGACACTGATACGG